CCTTATGAATAACTCCATTGTGTCGCAACACGAGACGTGTCGGTAGAGCGGGGCGGGCGATGTGCCTGAGACTTCATGAACATGCACGAGCTTCAAATGCTGCAACAAGTTCACATGGAGGAAAGGCGGTTTCAAAATGTGGTGTTCGCCTTAGCGCCGCGCGCGCTCTCGCCCGTGCGCCGCGCACATCCGTCAGTCGTGCGGAGTTGTATGGTTGAAGTCCGAGGAATGGCGTTCTGGCACGATTCAGGACTTCCAAGACAATACAGTCACGCTGACCCGCACGATGCAGGACCGTCAGGCGGGCGGTGTTCATGATCTGGCTCTCGCCTTAACGGCACGCACATTCGTGAAACAAGATTGCACGTGCTTCATGGATGGCGGGCGGTTCCTTTTCAAAATGTGGTGTTCGCCCAACGACGCGAAGTCGTTTCAAGAGTGTACAACACTTTCAAATATCATTACGGATGGCACCCCAAGAACGGTGTTTTGGCACGATGTGGGACTGTCAGGGCGCACCAGTCACTTTGATGCGCTGCGTTGAAATCTTAGGCACGGCTTTCTGGTGCGATTCATGCCCGTTATATACGCGGACGATATTTGATCACCGCACCGAGCCTCGAAATTTCGAAGAGCCCCCTGGCGTCGTCGAGTGCCGACTGCGCTGGCGTGCCCCTTTGCGAGCCCAACGAACGTGCGAACGCCAACCATTCGACCCAAATGGGTCGACGAGAGAACTCGACAACAGACTCCGAGGCCGTCGATGAAAACCAGGCGCGGTACGGTGCAAACATTTCGCCCTGCAAAAGACACCAAAAAGTATGCACCGTACCAAGCGGGGCGCCATGTGCGGCGGGGCTCTCAGGAAAATCCACCTGAAACCTCCGCCGCAGAACCGACAGGGGCCTCGGGGATTTCCAATGATGCGAATTGAGGCGCATGTCCTTTCCAAATCCTCCTCAATGCTCTTGCGCACATCGGCATCTCCGAAAAATGCCCCAGGGGCTCTGCCATGGTACGGTGCATAAATGTCGTCTGCGGACGCGTTAGGACGCAACCACAACGTTGATTCGCGGCGTTGAAATCTCATTGTGTTTTGGCACGGTTCAGGATGTTCAGGCGGCTGCTTTCCCCCGTTGAAAATCCTCCACCGTGCTTTCAGAACGTAGTAGCGTGTTCCAAGGCTAACGCAGCCCTCCGAAATGAAAGAGCTGCAAAGTTTCGGACATTTGCTAACCAGGGTGAGGCAGACCCGGGTCAGCAGAAAACACAAAAAAAAATGCAATGCCGAAAAAAACAACAACAAAACAAAACAAACAAACAAAAAAACTGCAACGCAGGGCTTCGCGAACCCGGGTCAGCCAAGATGCGCCGCCACCTCGCGGCCACGAGCGGCTCGATAACCCGGGTCAGCCAGAGGGGGTCTTCGCGAAATCTTGCAGGATCATATGCCCTGGCTGACCCCCGTTTGAAGCAACCCCCGCCCCTGAAGTTCCGAAGATCGTAAAGGCCTGGACATGTTTTTGGGGATTCTCCTGGACTGCCGAAGATTGACAGGCCGGGATTCCCCCAGATTCCCCGGGGCAGCGCACCTGGCCCAAAAGGAGCGGCCCCGAATCGCAGCATGATCGGTCCGAAACGCCCAAGATGGTCTCCAGTCGGCCGTCCTTCTCAAGGCGACGATGCGGACCAGGAGCGGCAGCGGCAGAGCGAGCGGGACAAGCCAAAGGGAGCAGCAGCAGCAGCAGTGGCAGCAGCACCAGAGACGGCACCCCGAAGAGGACGAGGGCGAAGGCGAGGCTCGGAGCGAGGGCGAGGACGAGGACGGAGGGAAGACGCGGACGAGGACGAGGGATGACGAGGTGCGCGGCGACGATATAAGCAGAACGGGCAGGAACGGCGGCCCGAGGAGCCCGAGGTGGGGCAGCGGAGGCATGAGCGCGGCAGGAGCAGCGAGCCCGAGGAGCCCCGGCAGGATGCGGGGTGATCAGGGGCGGGCATCCGTCAACCGACTCACAGGGAAACGTCACCGAAAGAAGAGCCATAGGAATCATGTATTGCAAATGTCGTATTCTGTGTTTGTGGAAACCTGTGAAAAGTGGCATGTATGGTGCGATAATATCTGCGACGGGCGACCTGCCTGGGTGCGTTCACGCCCTTGACGTCGCCGAGAATGCCATGTGTGAGTGGCGGGCGACCTGCCAGGGTACGCGTATGTCCATAATGCAATGAAGGTAGGTAACGAGACGCTGTCGTATGAAAGTCGTCACGAAAATGATACGAATGCCAAACTATACGTCACGTAATCCGATCAACCATGAAGCAATCACCGACACCTGTGGAAATCAAAGCACGCATCCTCCCACATGCGATCGCCACGGCAATCAAATTGTCCGATCGTACGAAGAGCAATACTATCAGACCAACTACAGTCACGCTCGTTCACATCGATCTAGGCCCAGTTGTTCAGACAGCACAACCATTAGCGGCATGCGCTGTC